CATATAGCATGATACATAAAGCATGTGTTGCAGTTTTTTATACATATATGTATGTTTATATGTATATTATATGAATGTGAAATGAGTGTATAATGTATGTATATACATGTATGCATGTACTATATATATTATACATTATATATTATATATATTATATAAAATGTAATATATATATTGCTTATTTATTACAATAATGACATAATACAAAATTTATAATTTTTAAGATGTTAGTATAAAAAAAATCTTTATCGCTTATAATCTTTATTCTTTAAATTTTAATCTTTATAATAAATTTTCAAATTTAAAATTTAAAATTAATTTTTTAATATGATAATTTTACACATTTTTATAAAAATTAAAAATTTTTAAAAAATTGTAATTTTTGAATTATCATTGATGTAATAAATAAGTAATATAAGAAGGTTGAAGGAGAAAAGAAAGAAGAGAAAGAGAGAGAGAGCATACAAGAATTTAATGAAATCGAATAATATATGCATATTAAACCAATTTTTTTTCGTTTCTACCTACGCATTTGGTCAAATAGAGTTGTTTTAATAGATATATCAAACACATATGAAATATATGTTATATGTAAAATAAACAATTGACACATCCACACACACACATACATACATAACGACACGAAACAACCATACAGCAAATACAAATACAATATTTTATATATATATATATCAGATATTCATATTCTTTTTTTTTTCATTGAATATTAATTTCGTCAAATGTTAAATGTATGTACAATATATGTAAGTGATTTCAAAAAATAATTATTACGAGGTAGAAACGAATACATGTCGATAATGGACATTTTGGAACGGCATCGGAATGGTTTCAATACTGATTTTGGAATGGTTCGTAATTCCCAATGCTCGGGAATGAGTGTTAAAAGAATAAATAATGTTCAATAATATTAATGGAATCTCTATACGTTCATTTAATTCATTTAATCATCAATTTTTATTTGATAATCAGAGATCATCTATCGAACTGTAAATTTATAAATTTCGATAATAGTTTTTTTATAGATTTCAAAAAACATTGTTGCATAAGTTTTATGACCGCTTTATGATCGCTTTCTTCAAACTATAAGAAAGTGAACAAATAAATAAATATTATATGTTTACTATATGCATAATTCCGTTTATCATTCGATTCATGAATGAGTATTCGCATAATCATAATCATTTCCTTAATTAATTATATTTATCAATTTTCTTTCTTCGAACCAATTATCGAAAAAAAAATTGGAATTGTGATACTATCGTAGTAATATTATATAATAATAATTAAACAACAATAAGTATGCTATAATAACAAATACAATATAATGTAAAATAATCTAATATAATATTTATATTACAAAATATCAATAATAGAAATATAATAATTGTAGCAATAACAATAAGTTAATAGGAATAATAATATTAGTAATAATAATGATAGTAAGTGTACTATTAGTTATAGTAATAGTAATAATAATAAATATAGCAATAGCAATAGCAACAGTAATCATTATTAAGAAAAATAATAACAATCTTTGTAATAATAATTGTTGCATAGTTTTATAATTATTGTTTTTGTTGTTATAATAATAACAATAATGACAATAGTATTATAGTAATGATATTAGTAGTAATGATAGTAATAATGTAGAAAAAGAATAGAAACTTATGATGGCACAACATAAGTGATTTTATTTGCAATTAGCAAGGGTAGTAATAATAGCGATAGTAGAATTATTGGAGGTAGTAACATTGATGATTCAATAGCAAGAATAGCAGTAGCAACAGTAGTATTAATATAGCAACAGTATATAATAATGGAAATACTGTAAATTATGTTGATATGGTGATAATAATTATAATAATAATAATAATAATAATAATAATAATAATAATAATAATAATAATAATA